AGAGTCAGATCAGGCTGAGTACTACCACCAAGCTAATCCCCTTTTCTCCAACAGTGTTCCCTCCTGGCCTTTGTGGTTTCCTCTTTGCAAAAAGCACCCCTCCATATTGTATTGGTTAACTGCTTCTGAATTTGTATGCAATACAATGTGAGGTAGCAGACTCCTTGGCCCACAGGTTATGTAATTTTACAACCTTAAAAGGTAAATTACTGAGAGATTTCTGGTGCTCCAAAAATAAGTAAGGGGAATATTTACAAAGTAAGATCTGGACATGATCTTTGCTTGAGTTTATGATCCTGCCTGTTGTTCCTCCATGTTTCCCATGGCTCCAGACAGACTCAGTTTATTATCCATCTCAGATATACTGCCATCTCCAAGCTTCTGGCAGTCACTGTTATCTGTCACACTGATGTGCTGCACAGGAAAATTTTTCTGCATTTTTTGGTGGAGAAATAAAAAGTTATTGGCATAGGTAGTTTGGAAGCCAGAACAGCTTTCTTACCCAGTGAGATATTATTGTGTTTCAGAAGCATCTGAAGGGAGTCAAACCTCGTCCACACATATGTTCAATTTTACATGGTGTGCTTAGGCCAAAATTTGGGGCCAGCTGCTCCCAAGTCTTTGGCATGTGCTTTTCTTTAACCACATAGAGCATTGGCTGTCTGTATCTGCTTGCACCATTGTGACCTCAGTTTCAGAGCCATATATATGTTTCTTACCCTCTCAGTGTCTTTAAAAGAAAAAAAAAAAAAAGAAAATACATCATTTGGAGTTAAGTCTAGAAAAGCAGTTTGCTGTCTTTTGGCTTATTAAACTGCAGTAGTACTAGAAAATATAATGTGACAACTACTGCCTGAATTTTGCATCTATATGGAATAGATTTTAATATTGTTTTAAAACTTAGACAGTATAGGAAATGAAGCCTCAAAACTCATGTATTCTGGTTGCATGTAAACTGGTACTTTTTTGTCACACATGAGGACAGAGATTAAAAACAACTTTATAAAGTATTTATGAGGTTTTGATTTACCACAATTATTTTCTCTGGCTTTTAGAGTCTCTGAATAGTATCTTAATGCTAGATCATATTTTCTGACAGCAAAACACCAGATACACTGTAATGATTTGGCATTCAGCCTTTTGGAACGAAGGCCAAAACTAGCTAAATAAATCTTTTTCAATAGCAAGGAGCAATGATTGCATTGTAAACTCTGCATAAATCTGTGATATTACAGAAAGCAAATGTTTTGCAATAAAGTGACTTGAAAAAAAAAATCTATGGAAAAAATTTCCCATACTGGAAAGATGTCAACATGGCATTTTGCTACCAGAGTCTTCTATACTGTTGCAACTGAACATTTAATAATGTGACAAAAAGTGTTTTTCTTGATCATTGTGCTCAAGACTGGGTGAGAATCTCAGACTGGAGTAGTATTTAATAGAAATATTAACTTTATTAATAACATAAAACACATTTGGATTCCTAGTAGTCAGTTCTATACAAGGCTAAGAAAAGGCAGGTGATCTGTGAAATAGCTTGAGCTCATGCTACACAAGATTTCTATGATGAGAGGCAAAGCTCTGAGTTAGTTCGTATTCAGCTGGAGACAGTGGAGTAAAATATTCACCGATGTGCATTTACTGATAGTGGTGTATGACTGTAGGTGTTAGAAGTGATGCAAGACATTAAGGTTGCTGTGCTAAACACTCTGCAAGGGTGTAGACAGACACCCTCACCAACCTCACCCAAAAGAGCTTATACTTTAAAATACAGATGCCTCAGACCTGGTTGAAAGGGAAGCAGACATTTAAGAGAAGCAACTTATGCAAACCACAAAACTGCCAGTGGCAGCAGTGAAAGGAGGAGCATTTCTGGAGGCTGAGCACCATGGTGCAAGCTGTGACTTTCAGTCCATGGGAGGGTGGGTTTGTTTATTTACCCTCAAACTTTTGTGCGTGGAATGACTGTATGGAAACACAAAGCCATACACTGATGTGACCATGCAGCCTCACAGGTCCCTCCAGCAGCTCTGTGTGTGTGTGTGTCAGACAGGAGAAACAAGAGGGCCCCATAGTGCTCCTCAGGTCAGAGCCTGTGAGCAGAGGGGTGGGTGCCCTCTGTGACCCCCTGCTCTATTATCTTCTTGAGAAACTACCTCGGTTTGGCTTTAAAAAGGGCCAGAACCAGCTGAACAAATTTATGGCTATTTGGTGTAACATTTCCGTGCAGTTCAGGTTAATAGTTCAGTTACAGTGCGAAGACTAAATCCACGTTCTCCAAATCATACAAACTCTACCTCAAAAGAAATAACAATAATGATAACTGTAACAATAACAATAATACTTCTTCAACTTGTTACATTATTAAAAAACCCAACATCCCGGCAAAGATTTTTGGCCGAAACGGGGAGGGAAGGACAAACAAGGATGCAGAAGCCCATACTGATGTGAAATAGATGGCTCATAAAGTCCTGCGAGGGCAGATTTTAACTCCTCGGGCTTTATGATGACCCTTTGTATCACCATTTGGAGCTATTGCAGCAGCTACAAATAAAACCGGGGTGAAGCGACGCCTTGCCCGGGCTCCCCGCGCCGCTGCTGCCAAGGGGCTGTGCCGGCGGCGGGCGCTGCTCCGGAACGGCGGGAGTCGGCAGAGGGCAGCGCTCGGTCCCGGTCCCGGTCCCGGTCCCGATCCCAGCCCCGGCCCCTCAGGCTGCCCGCGCTGCCGGGGACGAGGCACCGTCCCCGGGAGCTGACGGCAGAGGGGAATCTCGCAAAGGATGGTGGTTAGGGAGGGTTGCAGTGCGTACAGGCATGTAGGAGAGGAGCCTTGGAATATATCCAGAGACCAAATCCTTGAGTCTTAGCAGCTGAAAGACGTTGAATGCTCTCCTTAGGCTGAAAAGCGCTTGGCACGCTCCCGGAGAGTGTGTCAGGACAAGACTGGCACTGTGGCGCTCCAGGGACCACGCGGAAAACCTTAGGATTACAGCTGTAACTTGGCCACTTCCTCACTTACCGCCCTCGGTTTCAAACCTCTCAACCCATCTGAAGCGGAGCGTCCCAGCATGATGCACTTCGCACATCTGATTGCTTAATTATTATCTGTCTTTCCACACATGTAGAACCACAGTTTCACCTGCTCATGTGGCACCCACATGTGCTGTCCTGAACACCAGGGTGTGAGCAGCTTGGGATCACTGCCAGTTTGCCTGGTATCTTCTGCCTTTGCTCATGCTCTTCATTCCAACTGCGGCTTCTGCATGCTTCCCTAGGTATGAAAATGTAAATGCATGCACAAAATAATTGTGCAGCTCATATAACACTTAGCAGAATCTTTGTTAACTGCTTTGAAAGTGAAAAGCACCTTCTAAAGACAAACAGTTAAAAAGAATCTCTGCGCAATACCTAAACAGTTGCCAGGGAAAGTAAATACAGTTTTTAAATTTTAGAAGTTTTTTAAAAACTTCCCATCATTTAAAGCCAATACATTTATGTCCAGCAAATGAATGCAGGTAAGAAGAAAAGGGAAGTGGGAAACAGATTTCAAGGAACCAGGTACTTGCTGTGTGTACTAATTAGATAACTTGCTCCTCGTCTAAAGCAAAGTACACTGCAAAATACAGAGGGAGGAATCAGTGATGTTTTTTTGGTGCCTGTGATGGTCCATCTGCATTGTTCTGGGACTTTATGAAGAATTTTGTTGTAAGGGCTGGTTTCCTTCGCCAGCCGTTTCCTCTGGCAGGCTGGCAGCTTGGTGACACATAGATAGCAGCATTGCTTATGTTCTTGTAGCAAAGGTGGAATGCACAACATCTGTTTGATGTTGTGGCTCTGGGTTCATGCTATAATTCAGTCATTCAAGGTAAGGGGGCCAGAAGGCAGATAAGCTCTTTTCCAAGCCGCTGTTAACAGAGTTTGCAGTGTGTGCTTGAGATGTCACCTGAGCAGAGGCAGATTGATTTAGTAAACTGAGATCTGTCTTGGAACTTTGCATCCTTTCCCATCTTTGCCATTGCTTTCCTGCTGAATCACCTTTTTAGCCTAATGCCTTGGTTTCTTCTGTAAAATGGATGCAGTAAGCACTGCAGAAGCAATCAGTAATGTCTTCTTCTTTCTAGACAGAAAATGTGATGTATAATAACTGAACATTATTTATTTTTATCTCTATGTTTTAGAAGATAGAGCAGGTTTTGTGTGGTCCTATTGGCTCCTCTCTCATCCTTCCAATACTATAAGAACAGTGTTAGTGTAGTTTTTTTTTAAATTTCCACTTGATTGTTTCAGTCAGTTCAGAATAAATGAGTATCCATGTGCTTTTGGGCCAATTTTGAATGGTTCTTTCTTAACATTTTCTCAAAGAACTTGAAGATACATATGAAGTGAAGTCCCTGTCATGGCAGAGGATTCTCGCAGTCAGGCAGCAATTGGTCATAGACCACCAAAATTAGAGGTAGGGAGTAGGTAAGAAATCTTAAGAGTCATTTAAGTTTGGGAGAGTTTTAGATATGCAGAAGAAGGAGGTACATTCCAAAACTTAAGAGGGCAGCATTAAACAGATACTTAGTTTAGAAAAATATCTTAAACTTTGTAGATTGTTCTCTATTTTCATATCAATAATGTATTCGACATTTTCAAGTGATAGCACGTCAAGAACATCACAAACATCCACCCACTGTCTAATTGTGCTGACTAGTTATTTCTAACCTGATAATAAGCAGTGAATTGGTTAACAGTGTTGGTACTTAAGTGTACATATTTTGCTTCAAGGCGGACACTCCAGTAAGATGAATGGGGGAAGTTAACTTTGCTTGATGCTATTGTTTTAGCTGGTGAGGATGAGGACTCAACAAGATGAAAGTATGTTGGTTTACATTGTCAAGGCTATCTTCACAACCAGAAGCTAGAAACTTCCTTTATTATGAGAAAACAAACACATAAATTCTGGGAAATAGAATAAAACATTTCATTAATCTGCATGAAAGTCTTAAATCATTCAGATTCGTAGATTTGCCACCTATGGTAATCTTTTTCTTCTGCATTTGGAATAAGAGTTTGTTGGGATCAGACAGCATTTTTGCTTCCATTCATTGATGGGCTAAGAAATGACAGTAATAACAGATACAGCAGGCGTCTTTTCTTCAAAATATCGCTCTTCGGAAATGGCAAAGAAGCCAAAAGAAAGGCTTATGGAATGCTACCCTGTTCTATTGAAATCTGTTCAGAAAAATAAATGAAATTCTGTTCTTGGCTTCCTTTGCCTTGTTGAACAATATAGGATAAGTCATTTGACCTAGCTTTACACCAGCTTCTCAAGTGTGAAACAAGAATGAATGAGTTATGCATGTTTTCTAAAAGTGTTGGTAAATGTAGATGAAAAATTATGTAATCCCTAAGCACCAAATTGGGTGACCTTTATTCATATTGAAATAATGAGGACTATTTACAGAGTAGCTTGCTATTCACTGTGACTAAGGATGACAGAATCCAGGCAGGTTTTGCATTGGCCCAAAGAATACTTCTGAATTGCTCGTTTTGTTCAGTTTTACAGTTCCATTTTCATAAGATTAAAGGGACCTGAAAATTAATAAAATTGCAGGTTAGTGAATGATACTATCTGTTTGAAGATATCCACACTCTAACAATCTTTGACTATATCTTCAAATACCAGTATCTCAGTTGTAGTATTACTGCTGGGATTTTCAGAAAAATAGCATGTAATGTCAACTCTCCACTTAAACTGTAACCAACAAACCCTGGGGAGCTATCAAGTTATCAGTCTTTAGTACCGAAAGCATAACACTGGTTTTAAGTACAGCTACTCAAAATGGATCAAGTTACAGATGGGTTGTGTTTTAGTGAACTAAAATTAATAAGGTATTTTTAGCCAAACAGAAAAATTCATAAGTGTAGATATCTGTAGCCAAGTTCCTGATTCTATAAGTTAATTTTTATTTAACCCTGTGAAAATTAGTTGTATGCACACATACATGCACGCAAACCACCTGTGAACACTGAAGTTTTCAGTACTTTGTTGCCCATAACCTCAAGCTGGAATAGAAATACTTCAGCACTCAAAATCTGGATCAGCTGCTAAGATCTAAGATGTTTGCATTTGAACTTTGTGTACTTTAGAGGTATATGATATGTATTCTGCTCTGAATTAAAATATGTGGTAATTGGTAGGAAATAAGACAAAACCTTTCCTTGAGAAACTGAAATGTTTGTGTGTCAAATGTGCCCATAAATGTTTTCTCTTTCTAAAGGAAAAAAATATTTAGAGATCATGATGTGAGGATCTAAATCTGAGCAAGTCACTTCTGAAGAAACAGTGGAGGAAACATCTTTGGTGGCCTGAGGAAAACAATTAGCCATTGTCCTATGTACACTTAAACGTGTAAAGACAAATCTGCTTGTCAGATCAGCTACAAAACTGGGAATTTGAAGGCTTGTAGCAGCCAGTATTTCACATTTGCATTCACTATTTTCTGTCATTCTGTAAAGATCATGTCTATTTTCTGTCCAGTTCCACTGGTGAATCTCCAAGAGACAATATCAGTTTGGCTGCAAGTAATTAGTCTTTTTTTTTTTTTCAAAGCACATAAATTATTAGTGGGCCATTAATTTTGAGTGAATCTAATCCCAGTTCACTGTTGATTTTGGAGGGAATAAGTTATGCTTTTCAGCCTATTTAGCAAGGTTGTCACATTATCTATCTGTACAGACTCTTTAGCACATGCTTCAGTTAAATAGAAGATCAGGACAACAAATACTAAGTTTGCTTTTTGTGACTTTCACTGAAAAGTCAAAAAATCCACAGATGTCTAAATAAATTACAGAGCTACAAATACAACTTTAAAATACCCCATGGAAGGTATTTATCCATTATTTTTATAATATTTTGAGATTTTTAAACAGAAGGAAAGGAAATGAAAAATCCTTAGTGCTGTTGGCTTTTTGCATCCATATGTAATATTTAATTTCAAAATTAAGATGTTCATTAAGACGTTCAGAACTTCTGAAGTGAAACAAAGACAAAACTGACTTTTCCAAACTGTACTTTTCAAAATGCAAATAGCAAAGGAACACTGGTTGCAATTTTATCGTTTTTCTGCACCTAGTCTTGTGGTGGATACAGATCCATTAATCAGAGACATTTATATGCTTTTCTTAGCATACTTTCCTAGACATCACATAATTTTGTGCATATACACATAATATCTATCTATATTAGAAAACTGTTATTTCAGTTTTCCTGATGGGGAGGTTGAGGCACAGAGAGACTAAGGGACCTTTTCCAGATCGCAGAGGATATGAGTTAAAACAGGCTAAAAGATCTTGAATTTATAATTAACTTCTAAATCACTATATAGCTTTTCTTAGGACAAATCAATGCAAACAATTAATTAAACTGCTAAATGTTTATTTGAAAACCAAACAAAACATTATTAATTTAATCTGGCAAGTAAAAATCCCCCAACAACCCAGAATATTTCTAGAGTTAACTTTATTTTGATGTGTATTTTATGGAAAGGAAGAGCAAGATTGTTATTTTTTTCCCATCAGAAAGATCTGTGCAGTTTGCCAATATCTGCCTTGGCAATACTTTTGTAGAAATGTGTATATTTTGTCTTTTAGAAAACTGCTTTCCCAAGGCTGAGAAAAACTGTGAGCAAAATTATGTGGCAGGAAACATTTAAACGTGAAAATATGAAATATAATTCAGATTTGATAATTCTGTGTCAAAAGACACACTACTTAGCAATTCTTTAAAGACATCTTTAGCCTAAAAATATCCTATTGGTTAAGAAGAAAATGAAGGCAGCAATAAAAATTCACATAACAAAAACAAGAGCAATAGCAGTGAGTTTAAAACTGACTCTGGGGAAATATAGACAATAGATACAGGAAACTGAAAATATCTTAAAAAAACTCTGTAAAGGATGGAGGAAAACAAGAAACAATACATTAAGTATATATAAAAAAGTGAGATCTTATTAATGGTTCAAATCCTGTACTCAGCAAGTATAGTAAAAACATGGATCACTATGTGCAAAAGGCAGATGTGCTCATACGTATCTGTTTTTCCAGAAAAGACAGGAAGATCTATTTCTACCTTAGAGCTAATGTAAAGTATTTTCTATCCCATCAGTAGCTGGAAACTGAACAAATATTTTTTTTTTCCAAATGGGCAGTATCAGGCAATAGACTTAAACTAAAGCTAAGGTAATTTATTTCAGTGTACTAAAAATTTTTTTAATTACAGAATGCTGGGGAATTTGCTGAAAATGAATGCTGAGATTTTAAATGAAAAATCTGTTAAAAAGCATAGAAAAGACTGATTAAATTGGAGGTAATAAAGAAATAAGTGTAGATGACTTATAGTCAAATAGGAAAAAATATTTCTGGTGTGGTACTGTGAGGATCTGTTTTTCAATACCAGGCAATGTCTTTAGCAAAGTCTGGAAAATCTTCAATTATCAATAGCAAAACTTACAAGTGACAAAAGCATTTAATGAACAAATAATGATGATGAAAGAGGAATGAGTTAACCTGGAGTGCTCATTACAATAAATTCATTACAACAAGATATTTTTGCATGGCCAAAAGTGAGGCTAAAGGAAAAAGAATTTACATAAAACTTATTATTGGGAAGCTGAATCCTCTAGAAAAGACCTAAATATGAAAATAAGCTAAAAGAATAATGTCATGATTAAAATGTAAGATGCAATCCTTTCATGCCTAAGCAAGAGAATAAAAGTGGTGATACTCCCTCTGTTACTGTCATTAGTGAGGACATTCCTGGAATGCTCTGTCCAGTTCTAGCATTAATGCTTTGTGAAGGACCTTTACAAACTGGAATGGGCTCAGAAGAAGACTGCAAGAAAGGTATGAGGTCTGGGAAATGTGCTTCATTTTGAGGCACTAAAGAAGCCAAGTTTAGGTTAGAAGAAGACTTAGTCACAGTCTGTAAGACCATCCACGGAAAAGATTTCATCGACCAGTTCTATTACAAATGAATTCTAATAAAGTATTTAAAGTTAATTGTTTTCTTTTAATTATTAGTGTTACTTGATCATTATCCAATTAATGATAAAGATGGAACTACTGGAAATTTAATTTTGACAATTCTGATCTGGAAACAGAGCACAAATATCAAGTGATAGCAATTAATGTTTGGAACAAATTCTGACATAGCAATGTGCTGGATTTTCCATCTGTTGCAGTTCTTAAATTGAGCTGTAACATATCTCTCAGAAAAGACACCTGATGCAGAAATTGCTGTGTCCTGGTCTATAATTTATATAGCAGGTCAAGTTAGAAGACCAAAAGGTATCTCATGGCTATAAAATCAGCAAGGAAAAAGTAACTAGGGTACACTGTGGTGAAAAAGACAACACATTTATACTACCAATACTGCTATCATAATAAAAATAAAGTGGAAAGGGAAAATTATATTAAATAATAGAAGAAAGCATCACTGTTTTTAATGCATTGCTGACAATTAAAAGACCATATTTCTGATACTAAGCCTTCCTCTTACTTCCTTACTTTGTCCAATTCAAGTAATTTTTACTAGGTACAGTTCTGTCTAATTTTCTTTGTAATTTCTACTGATGAGTTGGAATTAAGTTTAAAGCATGTAAATCAAACACAATGACCACTTCAAAAACCACTGAATTTTATATATGGTTTTTGTACGCACCAGGGAGGCACAGAGAGTTTTTCTTCAGCTATTCTAAAAAGAGCTGGAGTGCAGATGGGTCTGATTGAAAAAAAAAAGTATACAAATATACCACGTGTGTTTATGGTCTTCTGTTCTTCTTAAATCAGGCACTTCATTCTACTCCATTGTTGAATGGATATATTAACAGTTACAATATTTTGCTAGGAAAGATTACAGATATTAAGACTTTGGGGGTTGTGTTTTTTTTTTTTATTTTAATTGGTTGTGGAGTTTTTTGGGGTTCCCTTGTTGTTTTGTTTTGTGTCTTTTTGTAGTTGTTGTTTTGTTTTGTTTTTTTGTTTTGTTTTGTTTGTTTTTCCCAATGAGAAAGCATTAAGGTCTGTGATGAGAAAGTGCTTTATAGCAGCAATGGCACGTGTATTTATTTAAGAAATGTAAATCCTCTAGTGTCATCTAGCAATTTTTGGGAAGACTCATAGATTCAAATGTGCATTATATTTTGTGTTCTAAACATATGGGCCAAAGTGCAACTCTGTTGGCTCAAATCTGTATATAATGTTATCTGATGCACTGTCTTCATTTCTACTGTAACAGGCAGACTTCTCTTTAGTGACCAAAACCATATGTGGTTTTATGCTCTTCTTCATTTTGAGAAAATGCCCCTGTTTATATTTCAAGTCCTCTTATTAAAACACATATATCTTTCTTGGACTCATTAACAAAACGACTTCACAAAAATGTCTGGGGGGACATCAAGCAAAGCATTGTCAGCCGGTCGAGGGAAGGGATTGTCCTGCTCTGCTCTGCACTGGTGCGGTCTCATCTTGAATATTGTGTGTGGTTTTGGTCACTGCAGTATAACTTAGAGAGCATCCAAAGGGGCAACGAAGATAGTGAAGGGCCTTGAGGGGAAGCCGTATGAGGAGCAGCTGAGGTCACTTGGTCCGTTCAGCCTGGAGAAGAGGAGACTGAGGGGAGACCTCATTGTAGGTACAACTTCCTCGTGAGGGGAAGATGAGGTGCAGCCACTGATCTCTTCTCTGTGGTGACCCATGACAGGACCTGAGAGAATGGCCTGAAATTGTGTCAGGCGAGGTTTGGATTGTATATTAGAAAAAGTTTCTTCACCCGAAGGGTGGTCGGGCACTGGAACAGACTCCCCAGGGAAGTGGTCACAGCACCAAGCCTGACAGAGTTCAAGAAGCATTTGGATGATACTCTCAGGCACGTGGTGTGACTCTTGGGGATGGTCTCCTGTGCAGGGCTAAGAGTGGGACTTGATGACCCTTGTGGGTCCCTTCCAACTCAGCATATTCTGTGATTTTGTGATTGCTTAACAATGTTAATTACAGACATTACAGCTTCAACAACAAGACAGTGTTAAAATCGAAAGCTTCTTCAAGTAGACAGCTACTTTACAATACTTTACGTGAGAGCTTTTATCATTTACATTGACTAGCTTTTTCTCTGCTTCCTCTTATGCTTCTTCTGCCAGTGTTTGGCATTTGCTAAACTTTCTCTTCTACTTAGAATATTTTTTGAGCTTGGAAACTTTCCAGGGGGAAAAAAAGACTTTCTGTGAACTTTGATAAATGATTTTATTAATAGTGCAAATTTGCTAATTTCTGTTCTAAATACAGGGACTATATGATTTTGTTTGTTTGTTTACTTGCTCTGTTTTTACATCCCAATAAATTATTCTGCACATGTTTTGTTCATTTCTGCATAGTTTTAGTCTCATAGAGGAAGTCTTTACAGATTTCATCTGTATCATTAGAAAATACTCAGAGGGTGGGAACATCTGGAAATAAACTGTATGACCCACTTTAGCATACTTTGCACTGTGAAAGCTTGTATATTATTTCAGTGGCCCCTGGAGCTGCTATTCTGGACAGTTTTGCTCAGCTTGGACCTCAATAGAACTCATCTCTTCTATTCCTTGCTCCCCCAAAATAAACTCATAACACTGAAGATGTGAGGGAGGATTGTGACCACTAATGCATAGATTACTTTTGGTTAAAGATTACTCTTCCCAGTACAGCCTGTATTCCTCCATTTCAAGGCTTCCAGTGCAGCCATGAAGAAATTGCTTTCTTGTCTCACCAAGAGAGTCATGATGGCAAGTACCTTGCTTCTTACTGCTGTGTGGTGTATTAAAGGCATCTGTATTGAATCATTCATTTGTGCAGCACTTTGCACACAGCTTAGTGAATGAAGCAGTGAGCTAATGAATGAACATTCCTACTTAAAACAGACATATATATCTTTCAAGTTGCATTCCTTCATCTTGATGGCATACCTAAGCCCATTGGTTCAGTCCAAAGTAAATTCATAACATGTCATAGCTGGACAGGCCTCTGATGAGATTCTTTTCAACAAGTTAGCATGCTGTTAAGTCATTATTTTCAAGGTCTCTAACACAGAAGTCCCTTGTTGAAAAACTTTGCTTTATTTGGCCAACTGTGTGAAGGCACGTTTGAGTGAGATTTTTAATTCCCAATTCATGAATATTATTCCAACACAAATGTAAATCTTTGTAAGCATTGGACTACTGCTGTGCATTCTAATAACATGTGGAAGATAATACCGTGCCCATTCTTAATCACTTAATTAAAATAATTGCTGGAACAACTTTATATAGCAATATATAGTTGTGGGATTTTTTATTTTTAAAAATTTGTGTTATTAGAATTAGTCACAGGGAGGGATTTTTACTGCCTTGTCAATGGTGGTGAGTCTTAAAGCAATAACTTTAGTAACAAGACACTATATTCATTCCCAACTGGACAGAGTCTTGAAGAGGACAGAGTGGGGCAGTGGTGCGAGCTGCTGCTGGGACTTGTTTGGGGATCTCTGGGCTCTACTGTAGAGAGGAAACCAAGTAGAGTGTTGGTTGGTTCTCTGAACCTTCTGGCTGAATTGAACCTGTCATATTTTTAAAACACTTAGGCAACTGCGGGTGTCTTTCGGAGGAAGTAATTTCTTTTAGCATTCTTTTCCTATTGCTTTCTGACTATCTCAATACTTTCTTAAGGTGTTGCCCTTTGTAACAGGAATGTGAACTGTACTTAGGCCTGAAGAAAATTAACAGTGACTCAGAAAATGAAAATTATCTGGAAAAACTACATTCCTCAGGAATACAGTATCATGGAGACTTGATTATTTCTTCTTGTGGAAGGGGCCAAGGTGTTTTATGATACCATGCAGTTGTAGCTGAGATTGGCCTGTAGCCCAATCAACTAGTCATTCCTCTCTGGTATATTTCTGCATTGGACTTGTGCTGAAATGCCCACAGGAGATTTGGGTAACTCTCTACAAATGCTTTTGCAGGTAGTGAGTGTTAATATAATTTAAAAAATCTGTTGTTTTCCCACCCGTCTCCTACTCTTCACCTCTCTTTGTGAAAAAGGTAAATCATTCAGAGGTTCCTTTCAGCATATACCAGTTTGTTGAATTTACAGGAAGGGCTGCAGTTCCTTTATGCACGTGATGCTTTCTAACACATCACAGGCATCTTAAATAAAATCCATAAAAAACATACATCAAACAAGCAAACAAAAAATCCTTTCCTCTCAAATATCCACACAGGAAAATGCTATGTAGCTAAGTGTGCTATTACAACTGTACCAGTAGCTTGTATACTAAATTATGCTCACTGAATTGTGGATATTCTTTGAAAAAATGAGGGCATAAGACTCCTTTCTTGTACCAGCACAAGTTCAAAAACCCAGACATATTTAGCCATCAGCTGCCTAAGGAAATGTCACTTACTGATGTTCAGGATGATCGATTGCATCCTTTAGATGTGCCATTCTCTCTCCTTCCTCTCCAAGGAGATCCATTCTCAGTTTTTTACCTTAAAACCTAAAAGAATCATAACAAAAGCTTCTCACTTAATTCATCACTTCCACTTCCTCCATTTTGGGAGCATTTATGTAGCATAAAATATGCTGCTTGTGGTACTCTGCTCTTTGCCTACATGTGAGCTTGGAATCAGCTATGCTGATCAGACAGAAGGAACTGTGTTTTTGAAAATTTTAAAAAATAAAATCCTGTCTCAACCACTTTTAGAAACACCTGTGTGAAAAGAATTTGTCCCTTTCTCCCTGCTGTGTGCAGTATTAGAGTGTTTGGAAGGTGTGCCTTTCAAGGCCTTCTGTCTTACAGCACTGATATCTCCACTACAGTGGCAGCTATACTCAGTGTGGACTAGACTCAATACATATACACTTTTTTGTTATAGTGTATGAGTATTATCCAGAACAGAAATGTGCCTCTGGGCCATCTGAGTTAGGTCAGAGCAGCCCTGGGGGTGCAGCATTATGGAAATGAGCTCAAATTGCTTCTGAATTTGAAGTAGCCATACAAGTAAAACAGATCACAAGTGAATAGCCCATACAGGGATCAAAACACAACCTTGACATTAGTAGCACCATGCTCTACCTGAGCTAACTGCTACTCTAACACACCAGTATTCACCTGTGATGTGCCTGAACTAATTACTCCTCCAAACATGCAAGCCCTGGTCTGTCTGTGTCTATAGCAGAGATACTAGTTGCTTGCATATGGTGGTGTACTATTATGGACACTTTGGACATATATAAAGAGGAAAACAAAACCCATCTTAACTCTGCCTGAGAGAGATCCAGTACCGTTTCTAAGAGAAATGGTCTGGATCCTGTCAGAGATTCTGCAGGTCAATAACACACTGCTGAAAATAGACAGCAACAGACAGAAATTAAAGGAAAACGGAAGGAAAAAAACCCACCAATGAACAAGCATGAATTTGATATTTCAAAAAAACTGCTCAGACTCTCACAGTTTATAGTTCAGGAACATATTCATCCACAGTGTTGTTTCATGTTTAATAGTTGCTGGTTATAGCCATGAATTTAGCTGGTGACCGTGGCAAACTTCTAGCATCTACATCTTCTGTTGTTCCATTTGTATGAAGACCTATCTCTCTCAGGTACTTTTGGAGCTGGTACCTACTCTGGTTATTTGATTCCCACTAGTTTTTAAACTGGAGGAAAAAATATTATTCCTTATTTACCCTTTTCACACCACTCATGATTCCATAGGCATCTATTATACTGCTTTGTTCTGGGACCTCCTTCTAATTTTAAAATTATCAATTTAATTACTTTGTGTCCCTTTGACCAATTAAGCTCTGAAGGCATTGTTTCTTATTTCAAGCTGTTTCATTTTTTAAGAGGTTTTAGTGAAAGATTTTGTAAAGAAACAGGTAAGCTCTATCTTTTCCTGTAATTTATTTAGTGAATTCCCTCTGTAATTTCAGTTTACTTATCCATTAATTTTACTGTTTTACTCATTTTCTACAGAAATAATTTATTAACCTGCACTTCTTTAGATCTCTTATTTCTCTGTATTTGTAGGTATTGTATCACTTCAGCTGCCTTCTTGACCATCAATACAAAAGCATTTTTAAGAGAAGGCACTGAAGAGGGCTAATACAGGTTTATGTCCCGTTAATGTGAAGAAAAGGCAATCGGACACAATTCTCACCTGGCACGAATGGCAGCCCTGATTCCATGTCATAGTAAGAGTGTGAGTCCTCCTTCAGTTCTGTGAATCATACCCCTTATTTCTTCTTTTACATATCCATGAAAACATACTATTTTGCTTCAGTAGAATGCTGTGTACATTACTTTGTATTGGGCAAGGGAAGCATTTTTTAAAAACATATTTTGACTCAACTAGAATGAACTGTGTTCTTCAGTTTGTTTGTTTTTTCTGCTTTGTCTTGAAAAAATAAAATTTCTATTTGCACAGACTAAATACTTCCCAGTAAACAGATTATGATATTTGATTTTGCTCTGAATATGTACTAAGTTTTAACTTTTTTTCCTGTAAACGCAATATAATGTCTCAGTTCATATATCTGTGAGATCAAAAATGCACAGTTCCAAAGCACTGTGTAGGAAATCTATAAAAAACGCCAGGTGTCTGAGCAACAGTTTGACAAGTGGAGAGACAAAAGGAACATAGGGAAAGGAACAGTGTCAGAGAAGTGTGAAGACAAAGGGTCTGGAGGCAAGGTTCGTGCTCAGTGTCATAAGGGAAATAGAAACTCTACCGGTGTCAGTTTTCTCTCTGTAATGCATCTCTGTCTCAATTCATGCTAAATAGATTGGCATGCACTGCTGACTGCCTATTATTTTACAATCCATGTGTTTTTTAAATATATATAGATAATAGTACACTTCAGTCCCTTAGCTAGGTTATCAATAGGACATAATGAAAATCCACATATTTATAGATTTGGTATATGGTAGCATAACAGTTCTGGGGACTCTGGTGACTCCTCTAATGGAGTGAACTGTGTCTTAACTGGCCTCTGGGCAAGAGCTGCTTGGAGATTGAGTCACGGGAGTCTAGAGAATGGCTCAATCTTATACAAAGTAGGTATCTGCAATAAATCAGATGAGTTGTGGTTGGAAGTACCTGCTTCTTCCAAACATAAGTTTTCATTTTGTCTTTAAGCTACAAATAGTTAAAGTTATACAGGTGAAACTTATTTCAGGATGCTGAATCTTTTTACCACTAATGCTGCTGTATTACTTCACACTCTGAGACGAGCTCAGTTGGTTAGAGCATGGTGCTAGTAACATCAAGGTCATGGGTGTGATCCCTGTATGGGCCATTCACTTAAGAGCTGGACTTAATGATTGTTGTGAGTCCCTTCCAACTCAGAATGTAATTCTGAGCCAGCACAACAATACTCAGTTCTGCTTCTGAAAAAAAGAAATATTTCAGGGAAAAATTAATAAAGTTTTATTTAGAGTTTGTCTTGCTTCTGTCATATAGTTTTAATTAATTTTAAGACAGAGGAAGTTGTCAAGCTTTGTTTTGTATCTATCTCCTGTAACAGGAGTTATCAGGAGAATACAACAGCAAAAGCTGGTCCATCCAACTTGTTTGCACTGGTTCACTTTCAAACCAACACCATTGGGCTTCATTCCCGCAACATATCAAGAACGACACATCCGGAATATCCATGTATGAGGACATGTGTAGATAACAGGTATCATCTGAGGCTTGTTCATGCTGGGGGTCATATATTTCACTATATGAAGGAGATAGTACTAATAGCTTGTGCATGTGTAAATTTTCCGCCAGAAAGGGTGATTTGCCAATCTCTAGGCCTTGCTTAATGCATTATCTTTCTGTCCTACAATGCTTTTTCCTCACTGTAAATTCCTTGTACTGTTCCAGAAATGCTTCCCAGTCTACAGCCAGGTAATCAGGCAGAGATGGAGGTGGCAGCTGCAGACTTCACCTGTTGAAGAGTGATCCTTTTTTCAGCCCTTTGTACTGAGTGATGCAAGAGCAGAGTTCACACAGGGCTGAGGTTCTGTCTAACTGAGGTGACAGGACCTTGCCATACCAGTGTGAATGTCCCTGATTTTTAAATTAACTTCTTTCAAAGGAATATAAATACTGGTCTATGAGGTCCAGATACAAGTTCAGTGACTTATTTTGCTTAAACTAATCAATGAGGGCTGTACTAAAATAAATGTGGTTTTAGCACAACTGAAAATTTATCCAAAAACCTCTTTTCTGTTTGGTTGGTTTAAAATCAGGTTAATTAAACAAAATCACATTTACAGCTGGTACAGACAAGCTATAGCTACTATATTTTATGAAAATATAATAAATTCTTAAAGTTATGGCAGTAATGTTAAAAATATGATTTATGATAAAAAGTTTACCAATGTGTCTATATCCAACTGTTGAAAAATGCTGAAAACTTTCTATGCCAAGGCCTTAAGGATACCTTCATTCCATATCTGTTTTTATGGTCTATATTTTTTTTCCAAGATGCAGTATAATTCCACATTTTAGCCAAAGACTCCAGTCTTATGCTATATAGACTGTCAGTTGATTCTTTGTCTTCCTGCTTTTCTGCAGCATGCCAGCGCTATTTCTTGCTCTCCAGCTTTCTTTTGGAGAGCAATTTAATTGCATTTGAATGCCTGGTCCCTGGACTGTTCTGTGGAGCCAGGTAGCTGATGATCAGGAAGCCAGTCTTTGGAGTCCAAGATTGCAGCTGGAAGCTGCTGGAACAGGCCAAATGAATCAGAGCTGTTAAAAAAATAGACTAGCACGTGAGCTGTAAAAGATTGTCTTCAAATTCTCCCTCCTGTAGAGGGAAGTAAGTGCAACCCTTGCTATCTGGAAAACCCCATGAGACCCCAGATTGACAGGGATTATTATTTTTTTTATTAAAAATAAAATGTGGTTGCTTGTGGGTTCTGAGTGCTTGCCCATACAAGACAGTATATGGGGCTTCTTTGCAGTTTTTCTTTTGCTCCTACTGAAATCAGCAGAAAATCACAGTTGATCTGGGTGGAAACAGAATCTACACAAAGTTCAACTGGCTTTTCAGCTGAAAGCTCACAAGGATTTTATCACTGGTCAAAGATTCCTTCCTGTCTTATGCAGAACTTTCTATTAACCATAAAAGCTGAATTTTTCCACACTATCTTATGTTCACAGAAATATTAGAACTGCCGTACCCAATCAGACCAGTGAGCCATCTAGGCTAGTATCCTTGGCTCCAGATGCCTCAAAGGAAGGTGCAAGAAAATTCATAATGTCATATCCCAGAGGAAGTATCTTCCTAATCGTTGGCAGTTTTTGGCTAGCTATTGCCCTGAGCATGAGTGTTTATATTTGTTATACACTTTTATCCTACCTAAGGGTTATCTATCATGTATGTTCTATTGTTTGAACTATTCTCTACAGGTTTAGGCATAAATGTCACAATAGGACAGAGGTCATAAGTCATAGTAGATCAAAAGCCATAGTGTGTCAAATGTTGTAATATAATTCATGCTCGT